CTTACGTGGGCACGCCTAACTATTAGAGAGTTTTCTGACTAATTTTCGAAAATTAAGTTCCTTAAGCGTGACCACTTGACGTGGGCACGCCTCAAGTGGTCACGCTTAACTAGTGGGTAGTCTTCTGTCTCTCCAATTAAAAATTTCGTCACAAAAGCAACAAATCACTGAACGCAACTAACAGTTAACAAAAACTCCAGAAACATAAGAAAACTAAAACAAAGGGCCTTGGGTTACCTCCCAAGCAGCGCTTTCTTTAACGTCTTTGACTAGACTTGATCAGAACTTTAAGTAGGATAAATTGGATCCTTGAGTTGCTTGAACTCGACTTCCTCAACGAAAAATCCTTCATAGTAAGGTTTGAGACGATGGCCATTCACCACGAACTTTTTTTTATTTTCAAACTCTGGATCTCCACTGCACTAAAATAAAAAATATTAGTGACTACAAATGGACCAATCCACGGAGAACGCAACTTACCTGGAAAAAGTTTAAGTCTCGAACGATAAAGAAGAACTTTTTGCCCAATCACAAGCATTTTTCTCGATACTTATTGATCATGAAAAAACTCGTTTTTCTCCTTATAAATGAGTGCATTCTCATAAGCTTCATTTCTCAATTCTTCCAACTCCTGCAATTGAAGCTTCCTATGCACTCCGGCTTCCTCGAGATCCATATTACAGTGTTTAATCATCTAGAATACCCTATGCTCAAATTTCATTGGGAGGTGGCATGACTTTTCAAATACTAATCTATAGGGTGATATCCCAATTGGCGTCTTGTATGCGGTTCGATACGTCAATAGTGCATTTTTCAGTCTTGAAATCCAATCCTTCCTATCCGGACGAACCATCTTTTCCAAAATCGACTTAATCTCTCTATTTGACACTTCAGCTTGACCATTCGTTTGCGAATGGTAAGACATGAATACCTTGTGGAGCACACCATATTTACCGAATAAACCAGCAATTGTCTTGTTGCAAAAGTGTGTTCCCCTGTAGCTCACCATAGCTCTTGGCATTCCAAAGCGAACAAAGATGTTAGACCTAATAAACTCTGTAACCACTTTAGAATCATTAGTTCGGATGGCTTTCGCCTCCACCCATTTGGGCACATAGTCAACTGCAAACAAGATATATAAGAAACCATCGGATGACGGAAAATAACTTATAAAATCTATACCCTAAACATCAAAAATTTTAACAAAAAACAGAGGAGTTTGAGGCATTTGGTCTCTACGCAAAATATTCTCTGCCCTTTGGTATCTATCACAAGACTTACAAAGTAAATATACATCTTTAAAAAGGGTAGGCTAGTAGAAGCCACTTTCTAACACTTTACGAGTTGTTTTCTTAGGTTCAAAGTGTCCTCCATATGCAAAAGAATGACAAAAGGTGAGTATAGAATGAAATTCATGCGCACTTACACACCATCTTAACACTTGATCTGAGCACTCCCTCCAAAGGTAGGGATCATCCCAAATGTAATACTTAGCATCACTCTTCAATTTGTCTCTCTTAGCCTTTGGCCAACCTGCAGGTACTTGATTGGTCACTAAAATATTCACAATATCAGCAAACCAAGAAATAGAAGAATTAACAGAAAGTAATTGTTCTTCGAAAAAAATCTCCCTCGGCGAGGATCCTCCTTAGCCGAGCACAAATAGCTCAAGTGATCAGCACTAGATTTTCCACCCCCTTCTTATCTCGAATCTCCAAGTCGAATTCTTGAAGGAGCAAAATCCATCTAATTAACCTTGATTTTACGTCCTTCTTGGTGAACAAATACCGCAATACTGCATGATCAGAAAAAATTATTACTTTCGCACCCAATAAATAAGACATAAACTTTTCTAAGGCAAAAACAACATTCAATAATTCTTTTTCAGTGGTAGAGTAATTAAGCTAAGCCCCAATTAAAGCTTTTGATGCATAGTAGATCGCATGTACTGCCTTATCAACCCTTTGCCCCAGTACAGGCCCCACTGCATACTTACTTGCGTCGCTCATTATCTCGAATGAGAGGTTCCAATCTGGGGGTTGAATAACGGGTGGTGATGTCAAGAGCTCCTTCAATTTGTCAAACACCATTTTACACTCATCGTTGAAGTCAAAGGTCACTTGCTTCTGCAATAACTTGAACAATGGCACTCCAACTTTTGAAAAGTCTTTGATGAACCTCTGATAAAATCCTGCATGATCCAAAAAGGAACGTACTTCCCGTACACTCACGGGATAAGGTAAAGCAGAAATAAGATCTATCTTTGCTTTATCTACCTCTATACTCTTAGCAGACACCACATGCCCTAGAACTATACCGTGCTCTATCATGTAGAGACACTTTTTTCAATTGAGCACTAAGTCAGTTTCTATGCACATTTTCAAAATCAAACTTAAACTATCAAGATATTCATCAAAACTATCACCGTAGACACTAAAATCATCTATGTACACGTCAATAATCTTTTTTACATATTCAGAGAAAATACTTACAATATATCTTTGGAAGGTTGTTGGGGCATTACAAAGCCCGAAAGGCATTCTTTGGTAAGCATAAGTATCAAATGGACAGGTGAAAGTGGTCTTTTTCTAGTCCTCCAGTGCTATAACAATTTGAAAATATCCTGAAAAGCCATCTAAAAAACAATAATAAAATCGATCAGCCAACATTTCAATCATTTGGTCAATAAAGGGAAGGGAAAAGTTGGTTTTTTTTCGTTACGGAATTCAACTTTCGATAATCAATGCATTGGCGCCATCCCGTAGGCTTCCTAATTGGGACCATTTCGCCATTTTAATTTTTCTCTACTGTCACCCCTGCCTTTTTCGGAACTACCTGAACGGACTTACCCAAGACTATTTGAGATAGCAAAAATAATGCCTACATCTAGGAGTTTAAGAATCTCCTTTTTAACCACTTCCATCATTAATGGGTTTCGCTGAGTCTGTCTCACTGATTTTGCATCCTTTTCTAGTCTAATCCTGTGCGTGCATAAGGAGGGGCTGATTCTTTTGATGTCTGCAATGGTCCATCCAATCGCCTCCTTATGATCTCAAAGAAGTTGAACCAGTTTGTCCTCCTGAAAGGTGACAAGTGTGTAGAGATAATGACTAGCAGTTTCTCCTTGTTCCCTAAGAACACATACTTCAAGTGGCTTGGGAGGTGTTTGACATCCAACTCTGGTGCCTGTACAACAGAAGACAACAACTTTTGATGAGTTTCTGGTGTAAAAAATAAGGCAAGCTCATACCTTAGAGAAATAGATGAAAGTGAACGTAATGTTTCAACCATATGTCGTAGTTTATCACTCAGTTCTACATCAGGAGGTGCTCCTAACTCAAGATGTTTAGTCAAAACTATCTCTAGTTCATTCTTACCATCAAACTCAAAAACTTCCTGCACAAGTGGGTCAATGACACTCCCAACCAAAACTGAGTTAGATTTTTCAGGGTATCTCATGACATCAAAAATATTGAAATACACAATCTCTCCATCTAACTCCATTGACCACGTACCTTTATTTGCATCAATTTTAGTCCCAGCAGTACTCAAGTCTACCTAATAGGATAGGTGACGGATTCACAGACTTTTTATCTCCCATATCCAGGACATAGAAATCAGTTGGAAACACTAGTTCATTTACCTGCACTAAGACATCTTCAACTAGCTCATCCGGATAAGCATAAGTACAGTCCGCTAATTGAATTATGATGCTAGTTTCTTTAAATGGCCCAAGATTCAAGGAAGCATAAATAATTTTAGGCATTACATTTATAAATGCTCCCAAATCTAGCATTGCTTTCTTAACTGTAGTATTTCCTATCTTACATGGGATCATGAACATACTTGGATCCCCACACTTGGGTGGAAACTTCCTTTGGAGTACAACTAATACGTTCTCTCCCATCACCCCTTAGTCTCCTCTTATTGGTGCACAAATCTTTTAGAAATCTTGCATATCTTGGTACTTGTTTGATTGCGTCCAACAGAGGAATGTTTATCTCCACTTTTCTGAATACCTCCAGAATCTCTTTCTCCTTCTCTGGTTTCCTTGGCTTCTTCAACCTGCTAGTAAAAGGTGGAGTGTTAGACTTATGCTTCATGAGAGAGTCAGAGATTACCTTGGCATCTGAATTTCCCCCTCCTTTTTCCTCAAATTCCTTTTTTATTTGCTTTTCACTCTTATCTTTAAGGACTACTAGTCGGGGCCCTCAACTTCTTTACCACTTCTCATGGTCATGGCACTCACGTTCTTTGGGTTTGCTTTGGGTTGAGATGGCAACTTCCAAAAAACGTGAGACTCTAGACGGTTGATTGCAATTGCCATGTGGTTTACCTGATTTTTCAAATTCTTCATGCCAGACCTTGTCTCTTGTTGAAATTGAGCAGTGCTTTGCTGAAATTGGGTGGTAATTGTGGCCAAGTTCTTGACCAAATCTTCCAAGGAGCTTTCTCTATTAGAGGATGAGGGATAGACCTTTGGCTGATTTTGAGGCTGGAACCCTGGCAGCCTATTCTGACCAAAATTTTGCTGGCGGTTCCCTCCGTAGTTGAAGTTCGGATGATCCTTCCAACCCGGGTTGTAAGTGTTGGAGTATGGATCATATTGCCTCCTTGGCGCGGGCACGTTGCCAGCCATGTTGATTTGTTTAGGACTCTCATCTTAAAGCGTTAGGCACATATCAGTAGTATGTCCTGTGTTGGTACAGATCCCACAAACCCTAACTTGTTATATATTTCCTACAGCCAATTGTCAAACAATTGAAGTTAGCTCCGACAACTGCTACTGAATAGATGAACTTTCCACTTCATCCACTTGACGAGTGGGGACATTATCTCTGGGGCCAAATTGTTGTGAGCTGTGCTCCATTTCCTCAATCAACTCCCATGCTTCTCCAGGGGTTTTATTCACCAGTGTTCCACCATTTGCGGCATCAATGATGTTCCTGTCAGACAAAATAAGACTTTCGTAAAAATATTGAATTAACAACTAGTCACTTATCTGATGCTGGGGGCATCTGGTGCATAATTTGTTGAACCGCTCCCAGTACGCATATAAGGTCTCTCTTGGTTGTTGCTTGATGCCACATATCTCTTTTCTCAAACTAGCAACTCGGGAGGCAGGAAAGTACTTCTCCAAAAATTTCTTCTTCAGTTGCACCCAGGTGGTAATACTACCTGCCGGCAGGTAGTAAAACCAATCCTTGGCTGATTCCATGAGAGAAAAAGGAAATGCTGTTAGTTTAATCTGCTCTTCAGTTACCCCGGGAGGTTTCGTACTTGAGCACACTACTTCAAATTCTTGTAGATACTTATGGAGCTCTTCACCTGAAAGACCATAAAAAGAAGGTAAGAGGTGAATTAATCCAGATTTTAACTCAAAAAAGGTATTTTCATTCAGATTAAGGAAGGTAATGCAAAGTGGTTGCTGAGTTAAGTCGGGAGCAACCAACTCTCTTAGTGTCCTGTTATTTGCCATCATATACTCTTCTTGTTCTGAATCGTTTGCAATAGATGACTGTCCTTCTTTGCGTTTCTTGGTCTCTTGTCTTTGCCTACGTGTTGTCTTTTTAACTTCAAGGTCTTATATTAATTCATCTGTACAGGAAGAACGAGGCATACACCATAAAAATAAAAATGAAATGAAATGAAATTAACTCAAAAGTGAAGGAAAAAAAATCAGGCACCAATCCCCGACAACGGAGACAAAAATTGACAGGTGTCGATGCCTATATAATAATAATAATCCTAAGTACCAACAAAAGCAGTTTCTTGTCAATTCTAGTACTGGAGCAGGGACTCTAGATGTGCAATAGGTTACTAGATTCATCCTGGTTCCAAAGAGTTTGCTAAATCCGATATATCAGAATTTATTCACAAGAAATCTTTAATTTGTATATAGGGCAAGTAGGGTCGTATCCTCAGGGACCGGGGAAAAGTTCGTTCCTTTTCAAGTCAAGGTGAAACGGGGGGTTTGAGAATTAAACGCTAATGAATTGTTAGCTAAATTAATCAACTGCGAAAAATAATTAATAGAGAGAAATAATTGAGAAAACTCTAGCCAAGGTTACACTTCAGAGATGGTTCAAGTAACTGATCATTGATGCAATTATAATCCCAACATTCATTAATAAGTAGGTTTTTAACTGCGGATAGGATCTGACAGTCAGTTTCTCCTTACTGTTTCGATAGTCAATGTACGATCATTGACTATTTTCCTAATATAGGAATAACCCTAGGGACGACCATAGGATTTGATTCCCTAATTGCATTAGAAACTAGAGAAACCCTACTCTAATCAATAAACACGCTATAAGGATTTATTTAAATTAGATTATACGTTTTTCCGACACAAATCCAATTATGTCAGTTGTTATCGGGATGAGAGTAATTAAACAATTACAGATTCAACTACCCTCAATTAACAAATAGACTACGTGAATAATTAAATATTGCGCAACTATTCAATCATACACAATAGTCATAACCACTAAAGGCAGAAAACATACAAATACCAATGAATGAAGGAAGAAATTAAAATAATTTAAATCTCACAGTTATTGTTGAACCAAATCTTCAGTTGTCCCCTTGACTAGAATGATGAAATTAGTTCTTCATTAATGGAGAACAAGCCATGCAAAAATCTGTTTGAAACTTTCAAAGGCCAAAAGGAAAAGTAAAGACAAGAGTACTATGCTATCCCTCGTCTCTAGCAAAAAGATGATCATTTGATGTCTGCCGAATTTCCCCTCTTTTTGACTTCTAAATGGATTGGCCTCCTCATACCAATCAACTTCCTAAAAAGGTTCATATTACAAATCAATTTCCTCAACCTTTCCTTTTTCTTGAGAATGACGCCACGGAATAAGGAAAGTCGTGGCAACTAACAAATTAGGAAGTTGATTCGGATTGGGAGACTGTCAAATTTCAATCCCGACTTTCTGGTTTTGAGCAGTGAGTTTAGGCGTGCCCACGTGCAACCATTAGATATTTTTCACTAGAAAATCTTCATTTAAGCACTTTTCATTCCCGCTCCTAAAATAAGTACAAAATACTAAATATGAGTAGAATCTATCAAATAAGATAATATTTGGCAAAAATAAAAGGAAAATTATGAACACTTATACCAACTAATTGCACCCTATCGCATAACCAGAAATTTAAGACCCCAAGAGCTCAACTTAAAGGACTCAAAACTAATAGAAAAACACTACAATATATTTTGGAAAAATATGGAAAAGAATGGGATTTGACTGACAAGAATTGGGGCTAAAACAGTTTGGAAGCTAGGTAAACTAAGGGGCTGTTTTAACACATAACACTTGAATGATTTGAAAACGGAATTTCGCACAAAAAAAGAGCCTAAATACACTGAAAAACACAAAAAAAAAAAAAAAAACCCAGAGTTTACTGGAATTAATGACTCAAACAGAAAATAAAACTGGAAAAAGATTGGAAACAAGAACAAGGAGATGCAATCCTACCTAACAAGAATTTATGTTGCACGGCTAGAATTTAATAACTTGGGCTGGAATTTGGAAATTAAGGCTAGAAATATTTCGTTTCCCACCTAGACAAGGAGTTGGTTTGCCCAGTTGATTGATTTCCCAAAGAGTTTTGGGCAAGGTAGCCACTTTGGAAACAAATGATAAGGAATCCAATTCGAATTAGGAAACAATGAGCTGCTGGATTCCTTTTCTTTTATGCAGCTGTGTACTCCACTATAATTGGCAACCAAAATCTGGAAATTTTTAGGATGTTTTCAACTGAATTTCATTGATGTAAATTTTTTTATTTTAAACAGCAACAAGAAACTAGCGACGATACAAGGAAAATTTTGGCGACTAGGGTGCCGTCAAGTAACCCAATTAAGGTTTGACTTTCTTTGATGAATTTTCATTCAAGAACCCAAGAAACCCAGCAAGATATTCTAGATTTTCCAAAAAAAATTTATTTTAATCAAGAATTCCAAGCACAGTCAAGAATGTTCAAGAGTTTCTTCAAGAATTACATGGATAGCTATGAATTTCCAGGTTTTCTTTCAAGAACTTTTTATGAACCAGTTTATGGCTCCAAGAACTTTATTATTGCTGTTTTATCAATCAAGAAATCCAAGAACTTGATTCAAGAATTCAAGAAACAATGCAAATCAGATTCGGACAGCCTACACAATTCAAAAATGCGACAACAAAACTCCAAGAAACACTAAAGACACTTCGGATGCACGACCAGTCTTTTTTTCTTTCTTTGGACTCAAAACACAAATGAAACAATGAACAAGAGAAAGATTGACAACTAAAACAAAACAAGTTTATGAGTGAACAGTGATTTCGGGATGAACAGTTGTACTACAGTAGTGATGAACAGTGGCACTATAGTATCCCCTTGTAAACAGTATTTCTTTTTCTTTTTCTTTTTTTTAAGAAAACACAAACAACACCAGATTCTTGACACAAAGAAGCGACTAACATAGAAGGAATAAAACCCTAACGATGGCTAACAAGAACAAGGAAACATGACCCTAATTTTGACATAAACAAAATGAAAACAAGAGATATATGTGATACCTCTTCAACTAGCTCTGATACCAATTGATACGAACTCTAAACGAGACCAGGATCTAGAAGATTGATTGGCAACACGTTGGAAAGATGGAGTTGAGAATGACACGAGAAACCGCTTTAGTATTGAACCAACAGTAGAAAAACGCCACGATTGAGTGCGTTTCTCAATCGATAAGTCTTCGATCACTTTAGGACAGCACTAAGATTCTCAAGTTTAGCTTTTGCAAGCTATAGAAGAGGGCAACCTCAAATAGCAAGTTTGCTGAAAATTTCTCGAATCTATCTCCTCCTGAATGAAAGAAAATACAACTATAAATAACTCTACGAATACTTAAGATAGGCTGGACTAAGACTTGACCCAATTAACTACTCTATTATGGACTTAATAAACCCTACCAAATTAAACAATCGGACTCGCTAATTATGGTCTAACCATGTAATTCGGATCCAACTCAACATGAGACCTTGGACTGACTTTATTGCTACTAATTTAACTAAAATATCCAGTAGCATACTATTAACAACTTGACATTAAAATTTGGCCCACTTTAGCTGCAATGGACAACCCATACGAGATCCACCTCGCATCACTTGCGGAGTTCAAATGAACCAGGAGAAGCCAAGAGCTGCAGGATTAGGGGTCCTCAAATTTCATTTGTTCGAATATAAAAGTTCTTGTATTTGTAACTTCTGTAAGTCACTAAACTCCGTCATGAAAATTTTGAAGTATTCTAGGACGAAGCAGCATGAATTTTGTAAGAATTTGTTAGTGAGCTAGACAAAGCTTTCCTATTGTGTGAGCTAAATATGTAGAAAAACAAAGATGATTTTTAGAAATTGTGAAACTATTAGTATGAAAGTGGAGGACATCAACAAAAGGCCGGAGTGATGATTATGACAGTGCACCAATTGTAGCTAACGAATGCTCCAGCAACGACTGCGCAAATGGCTGGGATCTTCTTTTCTCCATCAGCCAAGCCATAATGGTAGCAAATGTGATAAAATTGCATATTCATGCTATTTTTACTTGGGCCAGAAAGCATTTGCAGATTTCCCTCTTCAACTTTCTCAATTACAATGTAAACTCAAAGGTGGGGGAAAGAGGGTGGGGAGAGAGAGGTGGAAGGAGAAGGATAAGAGGAGGTGTGCGGCTGGTGATTTAGGTTGGTAGTGGAGGGAGGAGATAATTCAATGTTTCCAAAATGCCCTTGCTTAATTGTTAAATTACAAGCCAAATTTCTTTTAGATGGTGGAGCCATTAGAGAAGGTCTTAATTGGATCCAAAAATTAAGTTCATGTATTAAATTAGTCAGGAATAAAAGTTAGAAGCTAAATCGACTCTAGAAAAAAGTTTAGGGATGAAATTGATCATTTTCTCAAAATTTTTGAGTTAATTCTTTTCCATTAACAGGTCCAAATTTTATAGAATTAAAGTAGGAGTTTTTTTTTTGAACAGACTTAAGTAGGCTGTAGTTTTATGATCCTTGGTACAAGAGTGTAAAACGAAATAATTGAACTTATTAAATTTTGGTATCTTTTTATT